AAATAATACCCAAGAACTTGGCCTCCTTCACAACTTTGATGGGAGTGCCATTTAGGGTTTGTATTTACGGCAGAAATGTATACAATTAGTTTTGGATTTAGAGACACCATTTATCTATCTTGTTTAAACACAACTGCAGTTGCCGTTCAATAGTATGCATATTCTTACCGCAACAAGAAATATTAAAATCATCCACAAAAAGTGATCCATCAATTGAATCATTTAATACCTTGGATAAACTGTTTATCTTAATGCTAAACAGTCTGACAGACAAAATACTGCCTTGAGGGACACCCTGATCCTGATTATAATGGTCAGACAGGGTGGAACCCACTCGGACTTGAAATTGTCTGTCTTGTAAAAAGTTGGATATAAATTGAGGCAAACGGCCCCGTAATCCAAAATCATGTAAATCTCTTAAGATACAATGTTTCCACGTAGCATCGTATGCTTTTTCTAGATCGAAAAAGATCGACACTGCATGTTGTTTATTAATTATGGCATTTTTAACAAAAGATTCCAAACGCACTAAATGATCAATTGTGCTTCTGTTTTTACGGAAACCACATTGCATATCAGTTATTAATTTGTTGGTTTCCAAGTACCAAACTAATCGATTATTGATCATGCATTCCATGGTTTTGCAAACGCAGCTAGTGAGTGAAATTGGTCGATAATTAGAAGGATCGGTATGATCACGTCCAGGTTTTGGAATTTGAACAATTATTGCATCACGCCATGAAGAAGGAAATTCACCAGACGTCCAAATACTATCAAAGATATGTAAAAGTGTCTCTAAACAGGATTCTGGTAAGTGCTTCAGGAGTTGATAATGTATGTTATCAGCTCCTGCAGCAGTATCGTGAGCTTGGTCAAGAGCTTTATGAAGCTCATGAATAGAAAATAATTCATTATAGTCTTCCCCATTATCCGTGTTGAAATTAATAGGTTTCTTTTCTTGTTGCTGTTGATAGTTTTGAAATTTAGGTACTTAGTTAGAGGAGGAAGAGTGCTTAGCCAAAGTTTCACCTAGTTTATTTGCAATATCTGAAGTATCTGTTAATAATTCATTTCCATTTTTAAGATGGCGGATGCCAGTTTTAGAGCCTTTACCTTTGATTTTTTGTACCATATTCCATACCTTGGACATGGGCGTACGTGAATTGATGTTTGATACATAATTTCGCCAGGATTGACGTTTACTTTGCTTAAAAGTACGCCTAGCTTAGGCATTTAAGATCTTAAATTTATTGAGATTATGGACCATAGGATGGCGACGGAAATAGTGTTCAACTTTTTTCCGTGCCTTCCTTGCTTGTTTGCAGTTGTCATCAAACCATGGTTTTCGTATGTGAGCAACAGCAGAGGACTTAGGAATACATTCATCAGCAATTATATTTAGTTCATCAGAGAAACATTTTATGGGATCAAGAGTGCCCATGAAAAGTTCAGGTTTCAATTTGCTCGTGCAAAGCGTTTCATATAAAAGCCAATCAGCTTTTTTAAAATTCCATCGTGATGATGGAGGAACGTCAGATGGGGACACAGGTTTCAAAATGGTTGGAAAGTGGTCACTTCCACAGAGGTCATCGTGGACTGACCATGTGAATTCATTCAACAAATTTGAATCTGCAAGAGACAGGTCTAGTGACGAATACGTACCTGAAGCAGGATGTAGGTAAGTTTCTGAGTCATCATTAAAGATGCACAGGTCATTATAAGATATAAAATCCTCGATCACTTTTCCTTTTTGATTAATGTATGGACTTCCCCATAAAGGATTGTGCCAATTTAGATCCCCCATGATGATACATGGCTTTGGGAGCTGGTCGTATAGCTTTTGAAGCTCACTCAGATGAAGACCCAAAGAAGGAGGCAGATATAAGGAGCAAAGCGTAAATGTAATATGCAAGGTGAGCCGAACTGCAACAGCTTGCAGATTTGTATTTAGGGGAACAGGACTATGAATGATGCCCTGTCGCACCAAAATGGAAGCGCCTCCAGTAGCCTTATCACCAGGAGGGGAAAATGAATGAAATGAAATGTATTGCCTCAAATCAAATTTATCCGTGTTTTTGAGATATGTTTTTTGTAAGCATATAGCTGATGGATTTATATCTTGAGTTAATAATTGCAATTCATTAAAATTATGCCTAAGTCCTCTGCAATTCCACTGAAGTAGATTGGAATAGTTCATGGTGGTTCGATAGGAGTCCTTTCACGTGAACGTTACATTTTGTGAAGTTTCTTTGACTCAGTATATATGAATGGATTACTAAAGCTAGTGGTGACACCAAGTGTTTGCGCAAGGGTGGACTATCATGTCCTGCCAGCAACACCGATCACGCTCAGATTGAAGCATCTGTTTTTATGTCCTATTTTTGATTTTTTTTTCTTTTCGCCTGATGCTATATCTCATTACTCCCACCATACAAAATGGAATAAAAGCAGAAAAACAATCGGGAGTTGCAAAGCACAGTGGTACAATAGTGTATTCATTGATTGAGTAAAATTGGAATCATAATATATTTATTTTATTAATTCTGCTGCTTACATTTACAAATATTGTTGTCAAGGATTACAGAAATGCGTGCATAGAATGATGCCTATCAGTACTGCCATAAGTAAATAAAAGACATGCTGAAAAAGTAGCTCTGAGAGTACAGAGAGTGTGTGGCGTATTAGTTTGTTTTTTGTTTTACGCCACACTCAGCTCTATTCCTGCTATATGGCGGTGGTCTGTAAATAATAATAATAATAAATTACTAATATGTAACCCGTCAGGATCCGGCTTAGAATTGGTCTTCAACAACCCATGCTTGTCATAATAGGCGACTAACGGGATCCTGTGGTCAGGGGCGCTGAATTGGTTGACGCTTGTCATTGTATCCCTATTGCGTAGATCGATGCTCGTGATGCTGACGACTGCATTGTCTGGTCCAGACTCGATTATTTACAGACCGCAGCCATATAGGTGGCGTAAAACAATAAGGGAACCAAATACTTGTAAATTGAAGGTTTGTCCATCTGTGCCCAGAACTCCAACTCGACTCCGTGGTAGATGGTGCGAATGTCTACAAATACAAATTAATAGTCCCAATGACTCGTAGAAGTAATTAGTCTTCAGGTATTGTGGAACATTCACGGCGCTTAAACATGTATTTATCAAAGTCGCTATAGCAGAACATAAAACAGTAAACTCAATTAGCAACTACGGAGAGCATCCCTCTTATTGTCGTCTTCGTCATGTTGATCTATATATTGCTGAAGCCAAGATCTATAAAGCAATACTCATTAGCATGAAAATGTCCTCAATACTGTTCAAGATCGACAGTTCAGCTTATCAGAACACTGCCTTTCAAAGACCTTAAGAATGCTGCCATTCAAATAAGCATTTACTCTTGAGATTTATTTATTTACAATTCATAGACTTGTTTCAAGCATTTTGAACAATCGTTTATTTTGCCCTTCCAAAATCAGTTTAGAGAGTCTATTTGTTTACTTGTTTATTGATCAAAGTCGCACTCAGCAGCATTCTAGATAAACGGTCTGTAAATAATCGAGGCAGGTTCAGACAATACAGTGATTGACATCGTGGGTATCGATCAGATGGGATATAACATCATCACCAACGTCAGCGAGCCTGGCCACCCATTTCCGTGAGTGGCTGAAGAACAATTCTTACTGTTTTCTCACATCCGTCGTCCTGTGTAATTATTACTGTGACTATGTCTCTGTTCGAAACTTCTGTCATGAAGTGTCTCACAGCCAAATGTTGACACATTTGGATACAAGTAAACGATTTAATTTCTGTCTCGAGCTCTACAAAACATCTTTTGATAGGGTCCTTATAAATGTGATTGTTAAATATTCCATTGCTTAACATTTCATCATGAAATCTTGTTAAACCTGACAATGTAAGAGTGAGTTTAGATCCAACGTCAGGCGAGAGAGTGGCTGAACATTCAACGTCAGGTGAGAGAGTGAGTTTAGATTCAACGTCAGGCGTGAAAGAGTTGATATTCAACGTCAGGAGCGAGAGAGTTGGCATTCAACGTCAACCGAGGAACTGAGTTAACATTCATTCTACCATGACTACGTGAAATACTCAAATTTGATTGGACAATCAATAAAATTAGACACTATCAATCTGTATACAAAAGGAGTCTGATTTCATGACCGCTTCACTGCGCACGTATACAACACAACCGCACCACTTCAGGTCAGGCGAAACACCAAATTGATATCACTCATATTCCATTATGTCCCGTTGCCTCGTTAAAAGAATACATGTAAGAAATTGAACCACCAGAATTCTGCTTTCTGTCAACTTTCCCACAAGGTTGTCACGATGGGTGACTTTAAAATACGCTTGGCCACAATCATGTCCCAAATGATGAAAACAGTTTGCAAGAAATTCCAAGTTAGTAGCATTTACACAGTTCATTGCGTTAGGTCATCGCTGTCACTCTTTCGTGGCAAAACCCGTGAAGATCCGGGGTAGAATATGTCTTCAGCAACCCATGCTTGCTACAAAAGGCGACTATGCTTGTCGTAAGAGGCGACTAACGGGATCGGGTGGTCAGGCTCGCTGACTTGGTTGACACATGTCATCGGTTCCCAATTGCACAGATCGATGCTCATGCTGTTTATCACTGGATTGTCTGATCCAGACTCGATTATTTACAGACCTCCGCCATATAGCCATAATATTGCTGAGTGCGGCGTAAAACTAAACTCACTCACTCATTTTCGTGGCAAGCCGGCATAGAGGCAGGTACGTGTAATCATGATCGTAACTCGGCTTTCATAAAAATCATTAGTACTTGATGAGTTACAACACTGATTCGTAGGTCGATCAGAAAAAAAATCTATTTTTCGATTCTGCAGGGTTCAGATTTAACAGTCAAGTATTTTCTCCACTGTCACTTCAAATTTCAACCTTTTGCAAAATGTAAACACTGGCTCGTTCGCCATTTCATACTCTGCTGTACCTGTCAACTTCCAAAAAAATAAGTAGGTCAGACGATTCCATTATAATGTTGCCAAGGGGGTACAGTACCACGGCACACCAAACAATAGGCTGCTTCCGGTCGTGTGTAGGTGGGCTTATAAAAACCAAGCTCTGAGGCATTTCCTTATTGCATTGAATAAGCAGTAGTTTGCTTTCTTTGGAAAGAATAGTTTTTATGTTGCAATGTTAAAAACAAATACGAACAGCACCTACCATTGCCTTCACAGACGAGTTCACTTCGCCTCTCGTCCCATGGCGGATCACTCAGTGTCTCCCGCGGAATGCGCACGAAGGGTTGAACCTGTTGTGTTCGAAGTCTATATCGTCTTCTGCACACCATTTCCACAGTCTTAAACCACACCATGCACACACGACCTTGTCCGCAACGCCCGTATAAAAGAACCCTCTCCGGGCTAACTGACTTCCCTTTTGAACCAGTTGTTCAGGCCAGTCCCGGAAAGAAGCCATCCTGGCATAGCCGCTGATTATTGATTCGGGGTAGTAGTTCTGGCTTAAATCCGTCAACAGTTTCCTAGGTTCCCCCATGTGTCTCCGAGAGTACCCGCAACTGTCTTTCGCCGTTTCTCCTCTACTCTCCCTGTCGTGAAACGGTAATTTAGAATCCTTTACCACGTTAGCGTCGTTGAAACGTGGGAGACCATATTTCCCACTGACATACTCTGGTCATCAGCGGTTACGTACGAAAAGAAAAGGGGGCGTGACGTAAGGGCGCCTCGTCCTGTCATTGGACACTAAGGGGTCAAATCCCGATCTTGGATATAATTATACCTATTACATCAAACACAGGCGTTATTGCCGTGGGTACCTCGCTGCATAAGCGCTAAAAGCCGCCATTAACACCTCTTTGTATGGTTGGCTAGTAAAATCGATTTGCCTCGAGACGGCGGCGGGGGAAACAGCGTAAACATTCCTACAGCTTTATCACTAACCGTATTTTTCCCTCGTCAAAAACCCTTGCTCTTATTTTGAAAGTTCTTGAGTATACTCTTCATGGCATTATCACACCATCTGAAAACCATGGAATCGTTTGCAAGCGTATTACTTTTACTTAAATGCCTAACCATATCATCATTAGAAATACATCGAGATCGCCAACTGACGAAATATAAACAATGGTGACCGCAAGCTACCAACGACAGGCTTTGTACACAAACTCTATTGTAGGAATAATGCAAACGACCGTATTTTGCCACAAAATCGTGAAATTTGGGCCATATTCGTGTGTAATCTATACTGTACGAGTTGTGTATGTGTAATCTACCAGGTGCCTCTACGCTTAAAGCGAGCAAGTGACTTCCAGGTTCGCTTTTTCTATCCGTGTTGCAAATAAACAGTATAGGATATTCAAGTCTCTTCACCCCACTACAGTCTATTTTATTACCACACACCTCCACCAAAGTATCTCTGCTACTTATACCGCCTTAGTTGTTTTTAAGAAAAGGCTCATCACGTCCAAGCTGTACGGTGAGCTGTTGACAGTATGGTTTGAGAGTGGTCAACCGAGTGCTCATATGCACCCCATGGTCCTGAAGGGTAATTGGACGTGTCCTCATTCTAGCCATAGCCGTCACAATGTACGCTCGGTACGCGCAGTTGAAAGACGAAAATCGTCTCTATTATCTTACACGCCATATGTCCACGGCTGATTGTATATTGTTGCTACTAGGTCTAAACATCCCTTATTACACAATCGTTTCAACCACCGTGTGTGTCAACGCCATCGCCTCTACACCTTTTCCTTCACATAGAAAATATCCCCTACGTACATCGTCAATAGGATCAATTGCTCTAACCGTCCCCTAATACACAACCGTGAGTGTCAACGCCGTCGTCTCGCAAGTTTTCCCCAATAACTCGCGTAATGTCGCGAAAATTACATCTACTATCTTATACACCATTTCTCTCTGTCGATGTCTTCCATTGTGTGCGTTGAAGCTATAATCCTTTCAACTACGGTCGTAAAGTGAATAGACTTCTCTCTCTCTCCCGCTTATCACAAAATGGCGCACAACGACGACATTCTCCTCACGGTTGACGAGGAAGACCCGGTATACGAGTTAGTGAGAAATACGGACGTGTCTCTTCTAGAACATCCCGAGCATGATTGAAAAGAGCTGTCGTGTCACGAGATAGCAGAGAGTAAAGTTTAATTTAGGCATTTTACACAACTCAGTGGTTCTATGGAAGGTAACAACCTGTCTCACGGTCAGTACCATTTGAAAAGGTGTCATGTGCCGCTAACTGACATACTAGTTATTTTATTTCCACACACCTGCTACAAAGTATCCCTGCTCTGATGCCGCCATAGATGGTTTTAAGAAAAGGGTAATTATTTCCAAGCCATTGCAAATCTCGCCCGTACAGTATTTCAGATGGAGAGGTAATCTGCCTGTTATCTGCTTGAGTGTATAGCAGCATAGCTAAAATGATCACATTCTATTATACTGTCCAACTCTCTATAGCGCACTAGTGTCAACCACAACATGCGACACTTTAATATACCACTTTTCTTCTTCATAAACACTTCTTCTTCGAGTAAGCCCTTTCCACATACAAACCATGGAATCGTTTGTAACCATATTCTCTTTACTGTAATGTTTCACCATATCGTCCCTAGAAATGTATGGCTGTGTAACCATCGGGAGTGGAACATCTTGACCTCATGTCTAGCATCGGGCACGCTAAGAAAGGTAGGTAAACCCGGCTTAGGTGTAGTGTGTTATACTTTGAAAACAATGTATCGTATTTTTATAAGGGCCGGTGATACTTTTGGAACGGCCTACCATACTTTTGATACGGTGTGTCATACTTTGAAAACAGTTTATCATATTTTCATAAGGGTTTGTCATACTTTTGGAACAACATGTCATACTTTGGGCGTGGTTATACATTCTCCCGTCATTTTAGTAGTAAAATCTGTGAGCATAGTACGAGGCTACAGTTTCACTTTTGGGAGTATCTGTCATACTTCTGGAACGAATTGTCGTACGTTTGGGACACTGCGTCATACCTTTGGTAGGGGTTATACTTTTCCCCGCACTTTACTGTCGATACATCTGCAGAAAACGTGCAACATGAATATCGAACGTTTCGAAATCTGTTTAAATTAGATAAGAATTGAATGATATCGTTTAAGAAAGACTCACTGAAACACAAAATTTAGAGGTGCGAGAGACAGTTGTAATTCATGACCTCGCAACGGTCATGACCCCTCCGACAGGACCTCACTCCCCTTATGACGTCACAAACAATGACACATTGGTAAATTTGTATTAACTCTCGTCATATTTCAACAACGCCATGCTCGCGCATGAGATGATGACGTTATGTCCTTTGAATGGCTGAGCCCTGCTATATATTGGGGAAGGGACAGGGGCGGTGTTACAACTGACAGGATGGAAAACTACGAGGCAGAATTATTCTCGATGGCATCATCATCACAAGAGTGGAGTCACTACTGTCAATGCGGAAGAGAGCTGGGACTTAGAGCTGAAGTCATTGGAAGCATCAGCTCCATCGCCACCATCACCATCTCAATCAATGGCGTGTCGTGCATGGCAATGTCACCAATGTCGGGGGTGTCTACCCGTGTATGCAAACGGGACTATAGATTATAATGGTACATTTCAGTGTGCATATTGTTGTACCATACTGAAGGACACATACATGCGACGCTTGACACATGGTTGTAAGTGTCATATCAGGCGAAGGATGACAATTCACCAGTGTCAGTGCACACTACACCTGTGAGTCCACCCCACACCACCCAACGGTCCTTTTCAGGACCACCCATCTCTCCCTCTCAACAGTCGAACGACCACATGTGTAAGAACGACGTGTTTCAAATCAACTACACTCTGACGAATGCCCTGTCACACATCATGGTGGCTCTCCATCTCAGCATACAATCCTCCAGTCTGTCACTTCAGCGAAGAAAAAGAGACCGCACCACCACCACCACCACCAACAACAACAACGACGACAACGACAACGACGCAGACCTCCCGGGACAACCGAGCACGACCAACAATGGCAGCAGCACCACCGACCACCACAAAACACCACTCATGGCGACAACAACGACGACAGACCAGACAACCACGAACCACCCGCCGAAGAAACCGACCACGTCAACAGCATGCCACAAGAGAAAACTCGACGAGGGTGATGACGACGTAACGACGAAGAAGAAGAAACAAAAGAACAAGAAGAAAAACCCTACTGCATTACTGTCTACTCGTGACACCGAGGACGAGCCTTTCGGCGGCATACAACACCCGAGGGAAGGAGAAACCAACGTCGAGCTAGACATCGATTTGGAGAAGCTCTTAGCCGAGCTATTAGGCAGTACAGCAGGCTGCAACACTAGAGCCTGAACAAGCGCACGCCCCTCTTGGCGTGTCGATATGATGATTATAACAACGATGATGATAATAATATTTTTTTTAAAAATAAACGAACCGATCGTGTGTTCCGTTGAAAATGTATATTCCGCTATTTCTGTCGTTATTCTCGCACCCCAGCAAGGTATGTCGAGGTCTGGATTGGAAAGGGGGCATGGTTGTCACAGGTTTAGAACTACCCCGTCATACTTTTAGAACAGTTAGTCGTACATTGGGAATGACGACTGATACTTTTAGAATAACGTGTCGTAATTTTGGAACAGTGTGTCATACCTTTGGTGTGATTATACGTTCTCCACTTACTTTTTAGTAGTAAAATCTATGGAACGGGTCCGCGACTAATGACATGGTTTTGGGAGGGTCTGTCATACTTTTGGAACAGTGTGTGTAATTATTAGAACAGTGTGTCATACTTTTGCAACAATGTGTCATACTTTTGTAACAGTTAGTCGTACATTGGGAACGACGTGTGACACTTTTAGAATAGCGTGTCGTAATTTTGGAACAGTGTGTCATACCTTTAGTGTGGTTATCCGTTCGCCCTACATTTTTTGTTTTTAGTAGTAAGATCTATGGACACTAGAAAACCAAAACAGTAATGCGTGTTTTAACAAAGACGCTGCAGCCGTTCTACGGTAACGCTTTGATAAGATTATTTATA